TACACGACCCGTTATTAACATTGAAGTACATTAAGCAAGCAAAATTTCATAATCTCGGTTTTGGTGGATTACATGGAGGTATAGGCGGTCTGGGATACGGAGGCGGAGGGTTTGGTTAATTTCTATACAACAACACAATGTGACATTAGTTCAATAATGTCCATGGGTATTTTAGGCGCAAATAAAACAATAGTATAAATTGTAAATATTCAATTCTGAGTTTACCAAGAATATTAACTATAACAAATTAATGTAATTACTCTGTTTTTTGGGAATATTCTTAACAATTTTTATAATGTTAAGTACCTTGATAAGTATGATATTAACATTTATGTTTGTCTTATAATGTGTTGATGTTTTGTTATAATCAATATTTCATTTGTGGCTCACTGTGTAAATGTCCTATCACAAATTCATTACACTATTATTAATCTCTATGTGATATTATGTCTAAAACGTGTAACAATTGTAATTATGTATGTATTGTTTGTATACTATGTTGAACTGTATAATTAATTCACTTGTTCATTTCAATGTCTAGTCTGTTTTATATTAATGTCAAAACCTTTGATATTGTAATTAATGTGCATTTATATTGTGTCCCAGAGTTTAGACATATTTTGTATGTCCGGGTAATAGGGATTGGAAATGTTTAGAAAGTTGAAAACCTGGCGTTTAATTTGTTGCNGATTGGAAATGTTTAGAAAGTTGAAAACCTGGCGTTTAATTTGTTGCCATATTTTTGCACATAATCCTATACATTGTTTAATTCACCCGGTTATTCTGGTCAGTGCTCTGGTTTTGTTATAAAATTAATGTTTTTCATATGACCTCCCTTAATATTAGTGTTAAATTTTGTATTGTACTTAATTACTTAATTCATTTGATTTTTAGATTTTTGATAATTATTAATATAAACTCTACTAAAAATGTAATATTTTAACATACTACCGGTATATGTTTTAATAAAATTAAACATTATTTTTAATTAAGCACAAAGCATATAAACGCTTTTACAAATGAATTACCCAGTTTACTGTAACATAGCATCAAATTATAGTGTTTGAAAATTATATGTCAAAAGTGTTTGGGTGTAATAATTAAAAATCTATATTTCTATATTTATAAATGTCTAATCTGTACATTATACAAAAACAATGTACTGTTATTCAGTGTAAATATTTAATTGATGTACATGTATTAATAAAGTTTTTTAAAAAATTATTACATAACAAACTACTGCATCAAATATAATACTTCAACTTTATTTTTCATAAGTGTATTAAATATTGTATACAAGTTTATATTATATTATCAATTATATTACTAATGATAGTGTTTTATATCAATTTGCAAATTCATTCAAAGTTTTTAGATTTCATTTTCGCCGCAATTATTTGAAATATTAGCGCAAAGTTTAGTTATAAATGACGCCAAATATTTTGCTGTAAATGTTGTCCCCTTTAGTGATGAATGCATGCATTAGTCATACAAACACTCATATAATACTCACACATATTGTCACATCATTTATGCACTTATTATCACATGTTTTGTGTGTTTCAGTGAATGACAGACAATGTGTTAATTGTTGAGACAATTAGTGATTTGTGAACAAAACTAGTCATTCATTGCATTAATCACTGATTGTAACGCATATATCACCACAACTGCCATCACTGAACACATGGATATGGACTCAGGAAGTTGTGGTCATATGTCTGCAAATGAGGTTAGTTTTGGTGATTGTGTCCAATGAGTACACAACTCAACACACATTCAGTCATTGATTACATTATCTGTATTTCAGACAAAGATGTGGACGATTGGCACGAATGGCACTTAAGAGGAATATCCTCACAGGACTCATTGGACAGATTTGGTGATGACTTATGCGAACTCCTATTGTCTTATCTGTGGCTGAGAGACAGTTTCAGATATGAATGTCTGTCCAAACATATGTCCGAATGTCTCGGTATAATACATAAAATACCGTGTATTATACATGTATAATACGCGTATAGTACTAAGTCACAAATAAAATACATGTATTTGAACATACACAAAACTGGCGCCAATGTTTTAAAATCAAAAACAATAGTCTACTAGTTGTTAATTTTGTTGAAAACTATTATTTAATTAATTATCAATTAATTATTTGTCTAATTCGGTAGAACTAAATGTAACTATCTTAAATATTTTAGCCAAATTGTAGGCAAATCTAGAATCTATTGATATATAATATTTGTGTACTTATTCTTTAATAAATATAAAATACCATAAAATACATAAAATACTGTATAATACGGTATAATACGGTATAATACACGTATAATACAATCAAAAAATAAAATACCGTATTTTAACATCCTTAGTCACTATATTTGCCGAATGGTGTATTGAATGAGACATTCTTTGACTCCATTCACACATTGACCACACATTCAGACATTGAAATTGGATTCTCTATCGAGAATGAGTGCACGCATTGAGGAATCGGTGAAAATGTGACCAAAACTCAAGTGTTTTAAAGTCTTATTTGAGTTACTGTTTGAATATAACCAAACACCCCGTGATTATTGCGATTTCCACTGAACACGATCATATTATATACCATTAATTGATTAATACCTGGATGCTATTGTTTATAAACACTTTAATTAACGATATATTTTAAATTACTAATTTTAGATTTTAATATTAATATAACTTTAAGGGGAATACTTTGAACACGTGTTAATTAATGTTTTGTTTGATATTGATTATACGAGTAATTTGTTTTTATTTAAATAACCTTTCAATTTGAATAATCTTTAGATTTAAAACAAAAAAGTCGATGAATTTGTGGACTCGGATTGTCTCACAGAATATTCTGTTGTAAATAAAGTTTTTATTAAATTGTTGTTTAAACAAGTTTTCGTGTGTTTTTTAATTAGCTATTTATCGCAAAACAAGTTTATTTTATTCATAAATAGTTAACAAATCATTATTAAAAAATATATTAATATTATATAAATATATTAATGAATGATTGAGAGGTGGGAGGTATGTGTGATCAGCACATGGAGCCGATTAGTACCACTACCACCACATGCCTGAGTGTGTGTCACAATTCAATTTGATATAAAAGTAGCGATAAATTCACAATTAATAAGTTTTAAAAAAC